TATGAGTTATTAGCTGAGATAAAGGGGCAGCGATGCACCAATTGAAGACAAACTTGGAATTTCTCCTTGAATAGTTGTTTTTATGACTTCGAAAGCATGAAAAAGAAGAGAAATGACCATGAGAAGCGGAAGAATATGTATGTAAAAAAAATTGTCTAAGCATCTTGGTGGAGATACAGCATTTTGCTCTTAATTGTTTAAGTTTTCCTATGAATTTTTAAACATTTCTTACATACCTATCAACTGTTGATTTCAAAAATAATTTGTATATCCATGTAAATCATAGATATTAAAATTCATTTACTAATTCATTTTTTCTTCGCTTAGGTTGTTTCAATTTTGTTGAGTGAGCAAATATTCAATCGCACGGTCGCTTACCTTCTTCTAAGTATTCGATCATCAGTGCTAGTTTTATTGAGATACGACAGTCTTATAATAAAAATAAGATCATCTGCAAAAAGGCGACTTGAATGCGTTCCGATGCATTGAATTAATCCCCATTTCAAAATAAAAGAAGAGTGGTTGTCTTGCAAATATCTCTTCAACAAAAAGAGCTATCCAACTGCGATTTTTACCATTAGAAAGAGACTGACATGCTGCATCTTTCTATAGACTAGTTAACAAAACTTGCTCATCATTTTGATAAACAGCCAGTGAAATTCACAGAATTTAAAATGGTTTGAAGAGTGTATTGAATTTGAATTACAAGGGATGCATAAGATTCTTCTACTCAAGATCTACAACTCTACGTAAATCCGAAATTTTTTAATTTGTATCATTCAAAAAATATACATTCAAAAATGATTATCAAAAACGCTGAAAACAGCCATTTGTGACTATTTATTCAATTCTTTTTTAAATTCTATGCTTATCAATTAACATAGATTTTCGATCGTTCTGAAGAGATATTCAACATATAGAACTATAGTGTGTCAGTATAGTTGGCAAGAAAGATACTCGATATGTGATGTAATATGATTAGTGACAAAGAACGATTTTCTTTAAATATAAGCAGTTCCATTCCATAGAGAATGATCAAAAATCTAACTGTTAATTAATAAACAGAGAATTGAAAAAAAAATTAAATAAGTAGTCACAAACGATTGTTTCCAGCGTTTTTGACAATCATTGTTGGATGTATATCTTTTGAATGATAAAAATAAAAATTTTGAGTGTATGTAGCATTGTGTAGTTCTTGAGTAGAAGAACCTCATGCACATCTCATAACTGAAATTCCATACATTTTTCAGATCACTTTAACTTGTTCTGTGAATTTCATTGACTGTTCATCAAAAATATGAACAAGTTTTGTTAACTAATATGTAGACAGATGCAGAATGTCAGACGCTTTCTAATGATGAAAGCCACAGATAGTTCAAGGATCTACCGGTCTACCATTCTTTCAGGGGCTCAATCGCTAACTTTTGATCATCTGCTGGACAAGGCCATTGTCCTAACTGTTGTATCGCTTGCTATATTAAAACAACTTATGATTGTTCACGTTCAATGTATTACAATGTGTCCATTTCTTTCGGCGTTGTGGGTGCATTATTTTGAATGGATAATTGTGCTACACAATTACGTCTTATTTCATAGTCGTTACAAAAATTAATTTTTAGCTCACACAGTTTATCAACAACAGATTTTAGACATGATGCTGAATTCAACAATGCCGAGTTTACTTGATTCGTCATCGACTCAATAATATGTTGATTAAATAATCGTACACATTCGATGAATTTCACTACTGCAGTTTGATGTAACTATACGTCTAAGGCTGCTTGATTCAATAGGGAGTCTATCTTCTCGAGTTTTTCTTCTATTCTTCTATTCCTGTCACGCATAGTGACCAGATTTTTATTTATAAGAAGTGCTTTTGTTGAACCTAGTACATCATTGGTATATGTTCTGTTCGTACAGAATTCCATACTGCTTATCGAGATTTTTTTGATGCTGCCAATGGTGGAAATTCTTAACCTTTCATACTAAAAACAGGTTTTTGTTTAGTATATTCTTTCCGATGTAGTTTTTTCGATTCCAAGGCTTTAGTAACATCTTCTTTTAGATCAGCACGGAATTGTGGGATGATTTAGCATTGATCGTGAAGCGAATGGTGTTTACAATCAAATTGTGCTCTTCCTTTCTTCGTATTTCTTCTAGATAGACGCGATATCTTCGTGGACTCCCTTTACACTGCTCTGCATAACTGACCTGTTTTTCAATATCGCGTACCATATTTCATACGATTTGGAGTGTAGTTGTGCGATGAATGTAAGTGAAAAGAAGATAGACATCCATACTCATATCCCGAGAATTTCATACCAAAATTTGATCGAACCAGTTTGCCAAAAGGCTCGCCAAAGAAAGTCTCGTTCAAATATGTAGAGAAACACATTCTTCATCCTGGTTCTATCAAAAACTTACAACTACTCTAATCAGGCATGCAAGCATTTCAGATGTCACTTAAATGCTGCATATTTTTCACGTGGACTGTGATCAGTCATGCGATATATATGCATGGAGAAAAACTCAGTGCGAAGACAAAAAGCTTGTTAGTGCAGCCACTTTGAAACTGAAATGTGGAACTCACTTACCTTCTTCAGTTTCATTATAGTAATGACAAACTGTATAATTTTTAAATTTTCCAAAAAGATGAAATTTTTTTTCTGATGATAATCGATCGACAACAAATGTTTTTTTTTTATTTCTACACTTTGGTCAGAAATTTTTCTATTTTTTAGGCGGAGTTGCTATGGTCTGTAATGGGAATAGGGAGGACGGGAGGAAAGAACGGCGAAGACTGGACCTTAAAATTTACATTCGCTATTTTCTTCGAAAATGTATGTGAGTTCCACAAAAGAAAAGGACAGAGAGAGAAAGCACGCGAATCAAGGAAAATAATGGAATTCATCGATGAATGTTAGGAATATAATGGTGGTCCTGATTGTAAATATCTAAAAAGTCGGTAATTAATCGCGATTAACCGCTAAAAATAGACGATATCAACGACATCAGTTATTATACAGAGACATTAGACTCCATCGAAATGATGCATAACCAGTTTCTTAAATAAAAAAAATCTATTTAGTTTGGTTTTGACATCGCTCAAGAAACTGATGATTGAAATTTATGTAGAAACACAATAATACAGTAAGCTCAAATTAATACCGAGTATCCCAATGGTGAAAAAGAAAATGATTTTGTGAGAATAACAGTACAGTGTCTTTGTCCTTCACTCTTAAACCAAAATGTTTGCTACTGAACGAACTGTTTTCTCAGCAAGAATAAGTTGATTTCAATAAATATGGCTTATCGAACACTACCAATATCACTAACCTTTTGTTGACCGTAGATAGTTTTACCAACTTGGCGATCTGAGACGAGAAAGTGATCCAATAATTATAAAACAGCACCATCAGAACGAAACTCTTCATTTCTTTAAGATAAATAAACAAGTAAAAGATATACACGCAGGACCGCAATTGTGTGAAAATGAATTTCAGAGAATGCACGCTGTTGATGGTTCTTGCTAGCGGTAAGTAAAAGTACTAAAAAGCTTCAAGGCAAGAATATTGATATCTATCTTAATAGCATTTCTCCCACTCACATCAACCCTGCAATGTTATAAATGTCGAGACAAGTTCGGAGACCAATGCGGCGATCCATTTAATAGGAACGGGAGAGGAGTTGTTCATGTGACAGCAGCTAACAATTATTGTTGGGTAGGCTCTTTTAGAAGTTCAAAAGTGCGTTTCTCGTCATAATAGTTCGTATTAATTTATTTAGAAAATCTCAGCTCAAGTTGGCGATCTCAATGGTGTAGCCAGAGATGGCAATAGACTGCAAGACGAGGATCCTAATCTATTCTGCCCTGGCTTGAATGAATGTCGCGACTATAATGTTCCAGGGCTCAATATAAAGTCGAAGATATGCTGCTGTTCGGACAAAGACTTCTGCAATACAGCTACAACGACAACCTCTGCTTTCGCTTTGTTGGTCATTTCAGCTATCATTATTGGCGTTGTTACTGGATACATTGGTTACAGCTAATTTTTCATCTTTTTTCTTTTTCGACATACTTATCTCTGATTGATGCAATTTAATCAAGAATCACATTTATACCAGAGACTATAACTAATGAGAAAATGAGTGTGAGGGTGTTGGTGTGCGCGTGTCCTCTTATTCGCGAACATAAAATCAAAATAAAAGATCTGTTAAATTCAATGTTAGTCGTTGTTAAATTTAATTCATTCAAATTTTAAATAATCTTAGGTCTTGAATTTTCGGTTTTCAAATTTCAAAAAACTTTACTGATAACAATTTTAAAACAAACTAAAATTTCAGTTATATGTCTAAACATGTTGAAATTTATGGAGTTCGCTAAAATATAGTAGTGCTTTTTTTATTCTTAATTAACTGTGATTTATGAAGTTCGTCAGACATAATTGTTACTATGAATACTATCAGCCTTTTTTTAAGTTTGAACAGACCATATAATTATGATAGTAAAATGGAATCAAACATTGAATGGAGATTACTGATTCGGGTGCAAAAGCATTCATAGACAAAAATCATAAATATAAAAAAAATGATTGTTCTCAAAAAGACGACTTCGAAATGTAGATGTTAATGAGCGTCTTCTCTTGACGAACACAGTTGAATTCGCCCACACTACAGTCGGAACAAATATCAAGTTATCATAGCAAGTTATGATACAATCTCCTTAAAAACTCGCTTTGTCTTCAACTGAAATCGTCCTTAGTTCAGTCCAAATTGATGACTCTTGTGGGGTGTGAGCGTGAGTCTTCTATTCGTATCCACACCCACACCCATCCACATCCACACCAACACCCCACACCCCATATCCATACCCACACCCACTCACACCAACACCCTTTGAAACCAACTCTGCATATATATCGAAACCGTAGAATGTTTATTTTATCTGAATTATTTATGAAAATTTTAAAACTGAAGAAAAAAGACATTTCAGCTTATTTTCACTGTTCATCGGCTCGTTGCATCATGGTCATACAAAGTGCAAGCTGTTTCTCTTCCAAATGATATTTCACTTGGCTGAGTATTGTAATTTTCGTCGAGTCAGGGTCGTCGGAATAGTACACTCGATAAATATGATAATGCATTGGATTTTTAAGTAGACATTCAATTTCACTGATCGATATTTGAAACGTATGTTGATCATGGATCCGTGTCGTTTTCACTTCAATCATTTCAATCTCATTATTTGTTCTAATTTGAAGATCATATGGAAGACCTGATTCTTGTTTAGCATTCATCCATTCGACATGTTTATTTGGATGTTTCCATTGTAGAAAACGAAAAACGAGTTCTTCACCTTGACGACCAATAGTATTATCGACCATGTTACTAGTCGGATTAATTGTAATTGAAGATGGTGACAATGGATAGAGATTTGAACCAGTTAGAGTTGAGATTTGAATATGTTGAAATGTGGCTACTTCGATCACAGTAGAACTTGAACAGGCAATAGTACCAGCATGGAATTCAACAGTATGAGTCGATTCTTCGGTTGACTCGACAGTCTTGTTATCTATTTGGAAAGAAGGGCGAATGATAAAGTTATAAATTTCTTTCGAAATTGACTCACCTTTTATCGTACGGCTGCTCTCTGATTTTCTTGATACTTGTGAGGTCGAACCGGACGAAGATGAGTGATTAGAATTTGAAAATTTTGATGAATCTGTTGATTGTCTTTGCTCTGTTGGATGAGATTTTGTATTTGAAAATTCGGTCGACTCAATAGTGTTAGCTTTAACAGGAAAACAAGTCGGATTCTTCTCCTCGTCTTTTTCTGTTGTTATTCGGGATCGAAGCTTTCGTTCAGGCAAAGATTCATTCATTAGTTCTTCAATCATCTCAGTCGATATGTCAATCGGTTCGTCATTCAAAGGAATTTCTTCTTTTGGTGGTGGTGATAACAGAGTCAAATACACATTCGGAAGTATCCATCTATAATTATGTTCTTGAATAGATATACTATTGCGTTGATTTATTAAGCCTCGTTCGCCTTCATTCTGATAGATTCGTAATAGTTCTATCATAAAAGATATCAGTTCGGCTAGGGCCATTCGATCTTGAATAAGATATTTGGCCATAGTCTCGATGTAGCGTGTTTCGGATTTTTCAAATTTTTTCAAAATGTAAAATCGTCCGACTCGTTCATCAACGTAAGTATCACATATTTCTTTTCGTAAGGTATCAGCTTCATAGTGATATGAAAGTTGAATCTGATCGACACAGACAAAATGCATGCGAGCAAAAACAGATGCTAAATATTGCGATCGCTCTTCAGTTATGAATGATTTCGTTAGAAGAAAATATTGAATGAGTTCAATCGAATGAAAATAGAAATTGAATAAATCCACTGATAGTTGTTCATTATCAACATGAACTTGTAACTGGATAACATCTGCTAGAGTTTGAATCTCGAAGAGCAAACAAAAATTGTTCTTGAATTCAGAAGACAGAGTCCAATCTAAGAAAAAAAAAGACATTTACAAAACATTATTCTGTTCACAATTCTATTTACCGGGTAATTGAATAATCGGTAATATATTTGCTAATACATTGGCAATATCAGGATCATGCGGATAGAATGGTCGATCTATATATTTGACTCTTTTATTTTTCGTGCCCATACAAGGAATAAACAGCAAATTGAAACATCTTTCTATATAGAATGAAGTATTTTATTTTTGATGATTAGGCATACAATAAGTGTACGATAATTACCTTTTACTTCAATCTGTCGATTTTGCTGAAATGCTAATCGTATGATTACTTCACTAAGTCGCCAGATATCATTTATGTTTGTTATCTGTGTCAACAATGGAAGATAATCATCAATAGTAGGTTCAAATGTGATTTGAAGTATTTCAAGAAAAAATTTTTGTAATTTAACATCATTGCCATAGTATCGTTGAATAGAAATACGACGATCTGAATTCGGCATAGTGATGTTATCCAGATTTGACAACAATAATGTTGAATCATACCAATAAACTTGACGAGGAAATAAGAAGTCACCTCCACCTCTGCTATTGTTTCGTGGTACAAAAACAAGTGGCCAAAAGCGAAAACGCGCTAGAAGTTTGAAAGTGTCGTTGTCAGTGATAAGAAAATGATAGATACGACGAATATTATCAATGGTATCGTTACACGATTGACAAAATGTAGCTGGTACAGTACAAGGTACTCTAAAATGACAAGCAATGTCAATTACGATACAATCGAAAGGAAAGATTCAATGATATTGGTTTAAACTTGTTTTCAACACGACTATTCCAGCAGCATGTATAGGTTTTCGAAAATAGAAATCGCAAAAACACATATTCTAGATGTTATGTTGATCGTGTATTTTGAAAGTAATGTTATCTCGAACGAAGACTAGTAAAAACTTTAGAGATACCTCATTTCTTCCTCAGTGTCATACAAATTTCTTCACTTTACTTGAAATGACACTCGCATATGCGACTTTAGATGAACAACGTATCACTTTTTAGATTCGTTGTCATTGTCATCGGTGTGAAGTAAAATAATTTTTTTCCGAACCGGCTACATTATCAACTAAGAAGTTTTTCTAGTTTCTACAGAACCCAGTTTGTTTTTTTTAAGCAGGACTTTAACAAAATAACGACTCAATCGTCCCTTAATTTCTTTTATGGAAAGCATTGACTGAAGCTCAGATATTGTTAGCCTTCATATAGCACTGTCCACAATATCTGTTTTTTAGACTTTTTAGGATACCTATTCTTAATGTTTATTCTCTCCAACACTCGATAAGATAGAAGACCAATGTTCTTTTTCCCTATTAGGGGGCATTCGACATGGACTTTGACAAATTTCGTACTACTGTTTTACTCACATGTCCAAATGATTTGTTTCATTCAATAAAGTCCGTAATACATCAAGATCAAAAGCACACGACCATTTCATGAATATTTCAAACATGGTCATAGGTAGCACATGCTCTTTAAGTCCAAGTGTGTTCAATATAAAGTCTCGATTGTTCAATGATAGTTTTGCTTGATCCAAATGTGGTACATAGCGATGAAAGAATAATGTTTCACTCTTCGGATGTAAACAATATACATCATCTGGTTTAGCTAATTGACCACCCTCAATCGGTATCCAAGCATGTTGTCTCAAGGATAGACAAAATGTTGATGGAATACTTTTTTCCGGTCGCCTTCCTCCAGACTTTAATTGATCAATAGAAATTATCGATGCCATATAGTATCTGGAAAACACTGCATGATAGCGATCTAAGTAGATCAATAATTTTGAATATAGATCGATATCAGCAACAGTATTGTTGGATGGTGCTACAAGTCTGTTAAATTCATTACAACAACAATCTTCTACTATGAATGGTTGATGAATCATTTCATTCAATTCTGGCATTAAATAAGCCCATTGAGTGCTTTGAAGTTGAGAAATATTGATAAAGTCTAAATAAATAACACTCATAGTAGAAATCATCTCATATGTCAAATACTTACGTGTATCACTTATGTTAACTTGGAGAAACTCGGTAATATTGAGTTGTTCAAGAAATCTAGAAAAACTATTTATTTCGTCTTTCGTACGAAATAGTTCGGTGTGATAGTTATTAATATAATCATCTGAGATAAATGTGAATTCATGTTTCGGTGACACCAATGATTCAAGTGATCTTGTGCATCCATATGTAGATGTTAAATGAATAATAATACCTGGCGTATCAAGACAAACAAACTGACCGCTACGTGTTTTGATAACCATGTGCTTTTGCAATTGATCAAGTTCATTTTTAAATTGATCAAAATGTATATAAATACATAGAAGATAAGCAATGAGAACATAATCAGCTTTCGTTGACCAACGAGTCGAGTCCAAAAGTGTTGGCCTCATGTATAGTCGATAGATATCCTTAATTTTAGGTTTATCGATCATACCTGTATCAATGATTTTTTTAAAAAGTGTAACAAGAAATCTGTAATACTTACCGAGTTTTTTAAGTAGACATTCGATTGATTCATACCGTCGTGGACATTTATTTTCAATATATTCAAGTAATCGTTCGTCAAGTCTGGGTAAATCATCGAGAACGATCTTGAACGGTTTCTTATATTGGGCCGTTTTCGATAATGGAAAGAGTATCACTTGTTCATTATATTCATCAATGGATACTAATCGCGACTGACCATTTAATGGAATAATTTTCAGTTGTTTTAATTCGGCTATTGTTGTCGTCTCGATTCTTTCATTGTGACTACCACGTGACTGTTCATTTTCTTGTTGTTGTTGAAGGATATAATCGATACAGAGCAACCACTGAGCAACTAAAATACAGATTATTTGTACAATCCTTTCAAAAGTGAAGCGTGCAGATACTTAAGTTCTATTTGCTACCGAAATTTATTGGCTTGTGCTCTAGACTTTTATTGTGTTTGCAATATATTTAACACAATTTCAACGTGTATCATTTGAATCTCTTATTTTTTATATCGTTAATACAGAATTTTTATTCTGATGAGCATAAAGTAAATTGTAATGCTCTATTACTAAGAATCAAGAAAACAGTTCTATTATTGAGAGCAGCGTAGAAATATTTAAGTTTCTATTGTAAGTTATTTATAAATCAATGTGTATGCACTATAGCTTATCTAACTTCGTGAACCTCAAATTTCTTTTATAATAGTAAGTTTGTCTTTCACCAGCTGCAATACTATTGACTCACTTTGTTCGATGCTTGACGTCCTCGTAGAATGTTCTTGCTCGTGTTGCTTGTACAACTCTTTGATAAGTCGAATAATGGAAGAAAATTGCAACGGAGCACAGCCTAATTTAATGAGAGTTCGTTCGTTACATTCCGATGCCAACTGTTCAGGTACGTAGTACATATTGAAATGGGTTAATAATAACTGTTGAGGAAGAATCTTTCGTATGAATGGATCTTTTATAAAGACACATTGTGAGGTTTGAACCCATTCGATATGCATTTGACCGTTTTCATCTTCTCGAGATACGGGTAATTTGATAATACCCATGAGTAATTTCATGCTCTTGTCAACGAATAAATTAAAATATGGATCGAGTTCATTGCGAGTCGGAATGAGCTTAAGAAAATAGATTAAAACTTGAATAGCTGTTAATGGACTGCCAATTTCTGATTCAGCAACGATGATGTGAGAAGATCGGGTAGATTTTGAAATTGTGTATAGGCCAAAGGAAGAAGTTGAATCATTTCGGATTTGAGCCATTCGTTCCAAATGTTATCATGAAGAATTTCTTGTCGTGTGACAGGTATTTCAAAATCGGCTTGAAGAATGAAACGAAAACCATACGAACGGAGTGGTAAATAAGCGAAGAGAGGTTGAGCCGATGGAAGTTGTTGAACCGACTGTTGAAGGCCACTGAGTGGATAAGCAATGGCAATTGTCGTCGAATGAACGTCACATTTGACTTCGCGTAGTTTTTCCTGAAATTTTAATTGTTTAGCATAGTTCTAACATAAATTATATGTATTTTATTACCTTGATATCTTCGGGCACTTGCAGAACTTTCTTGACAACGAGCCAAAAATTTTTGATAATTGTCCCATTTACTGTCTTTTCTTGTAGCTCAATTATCTTCCCATCAGCATGATCAAATCTAGTAAAAATACGACTTTGATCACTGTTTGAAGCGCTTATCGGTTGACCCACAATTTCAATTCGTCGTAAACGATTGAGAAAGAGTAATAGTTTTGCTTGAATATTGTCAAAATTTTCTTGAAGTCGACTACCTCGTTGAATCGGCAAACAAATGCACGTTGTCCATTCGTTAGCAGTCGGTAATTCTTCACCCCATTTATCCAACCAAATCGGACGAATATATCCAATTTGTTGAGTACCATCAACAGTATCAAAACAGAAATGATAGTCACCCGAATGGATCTCAGGACGATTGGATACCATGAATACTGATTTAAATCCGATACCTAGAGATTAAAAATCTTCTTACTATTTCAATTTTCACGCCTATCAATTGTATACCTTTGTGTCCAGCATAGCCTTGTTTGTGTTTGCCTTTGGTCGTTGCACCCACGTTACAGATGGCGGCAACATTATTCGGTTGAAAACCAATTTCATTGTTACAAACTAAAATTCGTTTATCTGATAGAACAAAACGAAGTGTTGGCAAACGATCAGACGCATATTGATTGTCATCGGCATTTTGAATGAGTTCTAAAACAAAATGGCCCTGTTCCGAATAGAGATCGTTGGATAATTTTTGTAAACTTCGTTCGATCATTCCTTGGAGATTATTGACAATCGATTGACCACTCGAATCGAGACCACTATCGACACCAAAGCCTCGACGAATCGATTCGATATGTTCAAATGCAGCTTGAGCTGATCCGTTTTCGTTATTGCTCTTGACTTCAATTGGATTTGAATGTGATTGATGAGTTGTGGATAAAGTCGGCGCTGCAGCTGGTATTGTTGTTGGCATATAAGTGTCGTCTGTGAAGAAAGTAACATGGATTCTTAACATATCATGAATAGCTATTTAAAGCATTACAATAAGAAACTTTTCAAAAGTAGTCACCCGCACACTACAAGAGTATACCATATAGTAGTAGCGAGTTTTCTATATACTAAGCCAATGAGGAAACAGCAGTTCTTGGTGAACATACATCAACCATCAGGATATGATCACAAATCGTTTTTCGAATTTTTAGCCTTGTTAGATATATGCTCAGCAAATTAATTAGGACAACCATAATTTTACATTTTATTCCTACGTTTTTTTGTATGGAAATTTTCAAAAAATCTTGCCTGAAAAATTAATGAAAATTGACAGCTCTTTTTTTAGTAAAAGGGTTTGTTGAGCGAGATAAGATTCATTCTAATCAAATTCATGAAATCATGGCACGATTAAGAAGTATGAACTTCCTCTACTTGGTTACAATGATTATGATGTTCAAAAAACTTTGCATTGATTTGTGTCAAGAATACTGCTGAAATAAAAAAAAATGATCCTTTATTCACAGATTTTTTTTCTCATTATCAGTTCATTTTGCCGATCTCTACTTTAGTCCCTTCCAGAAAGAGAAGTCCTCTAGAGGATAAAGTAGAAAAATTAATAGAAGAAATTCATGTTTCTTATTCGTATTATGATTTGAAGAGTTTAATTAAAATGGACACTATCTTACTCAAAAGATTATCTGAACTGTATGAAAATTAGATTTTCATGCTCGATTTTGTATTGAAGAAGTAGGAATGAAATATTCTTTTTAGAAAATTGAGTGTTTTATTTCAAAAGTTGCCAACCTCTATCGAACCATTCCCACACATTTGAATTGCTGGTACTTTAAAAGATTCTTCGGAATGGAGGAACTGTCTTTTCTTTCTCGTATGAATTCGATTCATGAAACAATTTATTGAACAGAGTGGTATTAAAATTGCTTTTACCTTGAACAATGGTCTCACTTGAAGTCGTTCTATTCTCTGATGGCTCAAGAAGCGATACTTGGTCTTCAACCGAGTAATCTTGTCCAGACCATTTACTGCTGTTCTTCCAGTCGTTGATATCAAGTGTATGACCCCAAATTTCTAATTTGTTCCTTTGCTTTTCATCTGCCAATTTCCATATTCTTGTTCGTGCACTAACTGCATTTACTCCACTTTTCCAGAACACATCGTCGAGTGGTCCAAGTACGATTTCTTGAATAAGTCTTGCTTGTCCGACATACACTGGTAGATAGGTTAAAAAATCGAGTATGTATTGCATCGGTTCTTCATTATTACCCTGTACCATAGCTAATGATTGTAGATGAATGAACCATGTACGCATAGATGTTCGATAGACATTTAACGGAATTCGAGTAGTTAGATCGTATTCACGAGTGATCAATGTGCATAGATGACCGACAGCTGAGCGTACATGTAATGAACGGAGTTCATCTTCGAAACTCTTCAAAGTAGCATCGGTAGGCAGACGAAGAAGTTCATGAGTTGATGTTTCGAGTAACAATAAATGTTGAAATGAATACATATTTTTTCTAATGAACATTTTCAGACTGCCATATTTCGACTCAAAGAAATAAGGCCATTGTAGCCATATGTACAGATTGATCATGACTGGACATTGAAGAATAAATTGACAAAGTTGATTTTCGTCTGTGATCGACATCGGCGGACATGTATCGATTCGATCGAGATGATTGAAATCCAACAGTGATTCTTCGAATCTAGAAGCAATTCATCTATCAAGTATCTAAAGACAAGCATTATGCTTACCGAATAATCGAATATGCACTTTTCATACGTGATTGTTTGATTTTTCGAAAAATATCGGTTCCTGTTCGAAAACCAAGTAGGCTACCGAATTTATGTATCACCACTTTTTCCAATATCGGTACATTATCCGCACTAATTTGAATGTCTTCATCGTTAGAATCTATACCGAACTGTAGAGCTTGTGAAAGCATACACTGTCGATCACTGTTCGATTCGATCACTTGATTGGCGAATTCGAACAACTCTTGCCGATCCGTCATAGGTACATTATATCCATAGACGGATAGTTCTCTATTCGGATCGATTAACATTTGATGAGCATCAAGAAAGGAAACCAAATTGACATCAGTATCATCGGTATCGTTCTCATCAAATTTGAACGCATCAAAGCTATCAACGTTATATTTGGTACACAGATGATTTTCAATTTGTAGGAATTGTTTGACTGTGAGAGTTGTTTCATAATTGATGAGAACTTCAAAAATATACGAACAGAATTGCTTCAGAGTTACAGATAACTTTGGTCTGCTTCTATTGGTTGGTAGCATTGAATGTATAGTCGACGTATTGGCTATTTGAAAAGACGAAGTATTTGTTGTTACTGGCTGCAATTCAAAACAGAGTCATTTTCATTTTTATTTTGAAAAGGAAGGAATTTTCTTTTATTAATTAAGAGTAAAGTTCAATTTGCGTTACATAATGCTTCTACGCTAAATTGTTATCTGAACAAACAGAAATCCACTAAATTCTTAGCTCGTAAAAAAATTCCAAAAGACTTTGTGTATAGCATGATCAACTCGATTTTTGACTTCATATGACATGCATTCGAACACTTATTCTAGATAATATTGACAAATGCTTCTATCAAAACTAATGACATTTCTAATGAAAAATCGAGTGAGATCTAATCTATCGCTGTCCTTCAGGCAAGTGTAATGAGGGATGGCTGAATCACTGGCTCGAAAAACGAGTCGGAGGTTTAAATTCTTTTCGCATATCTTCTTTCTTGACGATTTCCTATCTGTATTGTCAATAGCGAAATAGATATAAAATCTATCTCTTGTTGCCACAAAATCGCGTTGTATGTTCTTGAATGAATTGATTGTCAAAATACTGCAATCTAGTCTTGAAGTGGCCGCTGTATTCACAAACAGCCTTCTCAAAATATCTCGTCAACGTTACATGCGTACTGATTCATTTCTATCATTCTGGTGGATGAATACGAAGCTCGGCAGTAGTTAGATCGAAAGCATGCCTGCGCAATATTTGTTGTTCTCGGTTGAAATGTACAAAGCAATTCTTTTAATCCTAATATCATATTCGACGATCTGCCGAATTGAATGAAGGTTCTTCAATAGTCTATACATGGCATAATAAAAATACATGAATTATTGAACAATATCCTAGAAATCTTGCATTGTTCATTCACGTATTTGTGCAGCCTAAAAGAAGCACAATTCATAAAACGAAGCGTTTCGAAAGTGAAGGTGTTCTTACTTGCTAGAAAATGAAATACAGTCACAGTTTATCGATTTTTATTTTTCTCGTTTCATCTTGCTGTATTTTGTTTAAAATAAACACTCGTTTCTTATTTTATTGATATACAACATGTGTAGAGATGGCTAATATCCTATGCAAGAATACAGATTGGACATGTAGATCTAGCAGAATGTGCCGGGCAGACTGAACAATAAGTTGTCCATGATTTCAGTAGCATTTTGAAAGACCGTTTGAACTTCTTAACAATAAACTTACAATAAGTTTTTTTCTCTTTATTACGCATATGTATGCCATATTCTTGTTAAATTGGAAAATGTGAGAAATTTTAGAAACATACGTCTTACAGAACAATATTTGTATACAATAGGCTTTTAGAAAAATGATTTATTCTAACTTTTAACAATTGCATAAGCACTTAAGAAAATGAATCTCCTGCTGAGCTAAGAACTTGAATTCAAATGCGAAGATATTTTTCAATTAAAACAACTTACATTTTGCCCAATAGTGAAGGCATTATGTTGTTGTTGGATCATAGCTTGTAATCGTCCATAATCCATCTGACTTATGTTTGAGTCGTATGGTAGCGATTGATAAAAATGCATTAAAATTTGTCGCCTCAAATGATCGTTCTGGTGACGAAAAATGTTTTCGAGTTCGGCAATGAATACGTCAGGTGTTTCAATGGTACCCAAATAGATACTAATATTCAATAGCCATTGAAGCAGTTCATTCTGACGAAGGTGAATCAGTATGACATAGGTAAACGATTGTTCAGGTATGAAAGAAAGATATCTTTCGACTATTGAAGTTAGATGATTGAATACAGCTACAGGAGTTTTTTTCTTATTGTATGACGAAAGTCCGAGTTCGTCGTGCAATACTTGCTTAAGCTCTGATAAACGTCCTACCATAGTACTAGTCAATTCTTCTACTGCTTTTCTTTGCATTTCGTTAATATGCCAGAGGTAGTTCCGCCATACGTAGCCAGACACCTAGAATGATTCAATTGATAAGACAACAATGGATCACAACTTTCCTACCTCCACTAAGAATGGAAACGATTTACAATAGAGACCAAGTTCATTTCGAGTTCGTAATTGATAAAGATTGACAAGCTCATCGAGAAATGCACCAAATACAAGGTTTCCTCTGAATTTTTCTTTAAAATCGATGAATAAAGTAATAACACTACCACTCGTTATGACCGGAATTGGTTGATGACGTTGAGTTGGTTCGTAATTGAATACTCGTTTTACGTCCGGATGTTCTTCGAGAGGACCCAAATGTGCGTCTTCATACGTATTAACTTTAAGAAATTTGGCTAGGAGAAGTCTAAGATCGTGCAATGTGCATAGCATGAAAACTTGTTCGAAGATTTGCATATAGAAGGTCACTCGTTTTAACCGATCAGTTAGAATTACTAGAGGGCTGAGTTCACCCGGACGAACACCTAACTGTTTCCAAGAGTTGACACCAAAATAATTGAACAACTCATTCTGAACACGTTCACGTGAGACAAATTCTCTTCTTCCATGAATAGTTAGAATGATTTCAGACAGCTTTATAAGAATATCTCGTTCATAAGTAGATCGAGGTTGAGATACGGAAGAACCTGATACAAAAAAAGTTTCATGCATAAAATCGACACATAAATCAAAATGATTACTTTGAATTATCACATTCGATGCTATGGGCGCTATTGGAATGTTAGGAATCAAGGTTCCAAGCATAAAATTTCCTAAACATCTGTTTGCTGGTTGTGAAATTGAATTTGGAAATGGGCTTGATGCATTGAAGTTGTTTGTCACTTGTGGTGACTGATTCTTGCGTGTACCGTCATGGGCTACATCATAATATCGCTTATGAGACAACCAATCAAACAAAATCGTGAGATCGAAAAAGAATTCTCGTTAAAAAGTACTTTACAAGGTATAGGCATTGTAAGATAACTAACTTTCATACAATGTGAAATACCTCAAAAAAATCGAAATGAAGAAAAAGAAAGTATATTCTTTGTCGATTATCGCTTTTATGAGTTTCTTATGAATTGAAAGGTGACGACTCTTCACCTATTTTGTTTCAATGTCGCATTCTTCTCTGTGTTGTGTCGACGACATAGGTGACTCAACCAAGAGAAGTAATGAAGGGTAATCCACATCCTGCCTTTAGAAGTTTATGCTTGAGCTTCTGCAATTTTGGAAAAGCTTAAAGTAGATTTTCTCTTTTATTCGATGTTCATATAGACTCTTCTCCTGTTTCGACGCCTGTGCGCTGCCACTAGTAAACAACTATGTCTTCTTGAAGAGCGAGAAAGGTACGAATAACACTACGTATCGGCCATATGAATTCAAGAACTGTTTGATAGTCGCCCACCTAGGCCTAGACTGTTAAATCTTCATACAGAATTTTTTTGACTTTATTATTTTAACAGTACAATTCAAAATTGTCCAGTTTTATAATAGACTTCTATTTTGAAAGAAAAGGGTTCCAAAAAAATAGTTTTCTTCATTAACTATTTTGTTTTCAGAACACTACGTGTGCGATTATCATACAAACATGTATGATCTTACATTAATGTATAATGCTGTGCGCTTTTTTTTTCTCATAAATTCTTTTCAATGAAGTACAATGGTGCAATAACTGATCAGCGACTAAAATTCGTTTCATTATAAACAAAGAGAACGTATTCGAGTTGGAAAGTCTTTGTGATTTCTCTGTAAATTAAAATAGCGATAAGCATCAGAGAATAATTTTTAATCAAGATATACAAAGTTTATTGAACGTACTCATGCAAGTAATCTAATTTTCTAGATCAGCAAACAAGAAAAATAGCAATATTCCGTACCACTATTTGTGACGTAAAAATATTTAATTGCTGCTAAGAGATATAAGTTTTTGAATACTACAGCATGGTTACCTTGTTGTATTGCACGATATTATTTGTATAATGGTTTTATACTCCTATGCAGGATTAGAATTATTTTTATTTTTGCTCAGCTGTGTTCGAAAACGGCTACTGCATTTCTGTCACTTTTTTATGATGTAACTATGTTGCCAGAAATCATCAAACCTTCAATTGCAGATTATTCTGGTCGACCATGTATTTATCATCTATTCACAACAGTTTGAAATTTCAAAAAGATAAAGCTATCAATACAGATTTGTTCATTATGCTTGTTTTCAGAATTCGATAAAACAAATCGCAAGAAGAGTGCGTCCTTTTTTTTTACATAGAGGGTACAGAATTTTAAGACACCTTTCGATTTTCATTTTGTTTTTTAAATTTTAAAACATCAGAATCCCAATTGAAATATATTACTCGAAAAAAAACTGGAAGTTGACTCAAATTTTTTCAAAATGGAAAGTTCACATAACTTTAGACATAAATTATTTTAAGTATTCAATGGAACTGTAATTCTTTTCAGAATGTTCAAGAGTGAAGTTTTAGAATTGTGAGAGCGCACTCCTATGCTACAAAATATTACTTTCTACTTCAATTACGAACTTTGCAACAGAACAGAAAATCAATTTTACATGATTTTCTGAAGTTGCTTGACACTTTGCAATGGTCAAAAATTTGAGTAATATCATCATGCGAAAATTCTATGACTTTAATAGTGTGTGACATATTTGATTTTATCGAAAGGTTGTTTGAAGTGATCAATTCTGTTTTACATTTGTGTTCAACCGATTAATCAAGTTAAAAGTTACGTTTGGCTTTAATTATTTTTCTTACCTGTTTTTGTTTGTTTAAGGGCGTACGATGATGTACTCTAAATAAAACACGAAAAAGAAAAATAAATATAAGTCAGAAAAGAGAACAACAATATATACTTCGAAAGACTGGTGATTACTGCTAGAAGCTTGACTTAGCGATGATTCACCTCGTGGCAGAAACCAATTGTCGTAATGATTGCCTGGCTGAACTGCTGGTTCAGCAATTGTTGATGATTGGGTTACGATCTGAGCTTGTTGTCCTGATCTATTACGATTACTTTTCAATTTTTTGCCATCATCTTTTGAAACATGAGTAGCACTCATGGCGATGAATCACTGAAACAAAATGAAAAAAGTGCGTGTATAAGCGTAACTTCTGAGAGCTTTTATATATCGACGTTAAGAGTATTTTTTCCAACTCATAAAATATCACTCGGCATATGAGTAATCAGCGTGGTCAATTACGTCCGTCCCTGTCGAGATCTCGAAAGAGTACACTCTGACTCTAAGCAAAGCTTTTCTTTTACAAAAAAAACAAAGAGGATAGAAAAAAGATAACCGCTTCGCACAAGCATCACCTTATAAATGCTCTTATGTGTGAATTATACTTCCTCTTTCTTTCTTGTATATGATCCTTCTTTCTGATCAAGTGTTTGTTGCATCTAGTGAACATTCAAATACAATATCATCATCAATTACTACAAAATTCATATATATTGAAAAATGAATTAGAAATAGAAACTAGGAAAAAAATGATCTTGTTTTTATTGTTATGTCAAACAAAAATAAAACAAAAAAATGTTTGATATGTTTGAGAATTTCTATTTATGCTGGTTTAATAAAAGCAATGTTATTAGAAACATCCAGAAACATAAAACGTTTGATTATAATTCATAGCATGTATTTTATTTTTTATTGTTTTAGAATATTTTCTAACATTCATTTATCAATAAAAGAAAAACAAAAATCTTTTTGAAACCTTTGTACTAAGACGTTAAACGTTGTTCTCTTTCTTTGGAGTCGATTGTTTGATAAATATTCTTTTACCGTTCGAATGCTAATTTTGCGTGTACAGATTACGACGATGCAACTCAATAACTATATATAATACGAATGTCTTGGGCCAAGATTTCACTATCATAAGGAAAAAAAAGTTATCTAATCATCTATAGTAAATGAGAATCTTTTAAATTTGATTAAGAAACTAATTCTTCGGTTTTATGGTTTTTTTCTATTGAAGTTATTTTCATTTTTTTAATGAATCGTCATCTGATTATGTATGTGTTGACATATCTTTCGTTTGTTCTCGTTCTTATTGAGTAACACTACTATTGCTTGCCAGAAAAAAAGATATATGTTGATGATAAATAGCTCAAATAGTATTTTACTGTTTTATTATGAAATGAGAATAACTAAAAGATTAAGTTATTTTGTCGAAGATATATCAAATTTAATTTATTATTATTTTGATACATATTTCACAATAGTCTTTCATATTACTACTATTGATCGATTTCCGAGTTATATTTTATTCTGTTTTTAGTACTGTTGAATTTCTTTCGTTGAGCATCTTTACTTAACCAAGTATGATAACTTTTCATACTTATTTATATTTCAAAGTTGTAGAAATAAGTCAATATTATGAAATTCTAAAATTTCATTAACTTCATTCTGCATATGTATGTGTCAGAAGACAGCCTAGAAGAAAAAAAACGTTTCGTTAAGAAACTATTTATGCACTAAGAGACTAAGATATGAAGCGAAAATAAATAAACGACAATTATTATGATTTACGTTAAGAAATTTTTCTCAAAAGTATTGTTGAATAATATGAAATACATATTTTTAAAGTCAACTACGAATTTTGGTAGTGTTTTATGTTTATATTGATTTAATGCTTATTGAATCAATATAAAATTAAAATGAATACCGCTGCTATTCTTACATGTTTAACTTGAAAAAAAATTTAGACAATTTCAACGATATTCAATATTATTATCATGAACGAATATATATTATTCTTTCAAAAGTTTCAATATTAACATTAATCGATAGCAAATCGATTGATAAAAATATTTATAACAGAAGCAAAAATATCTTATGATAAATGCTCAATGAAACATAATTTAACTGTAATAAAAAGAAAAACTTTTTTTATCTATACAGTTATTCTTTTTCAACTAGAACTTTTATAATTTAGTGTTTTACTTTGTTTTTCAATATTGTCTCTCTCTTGCCTTAGCGCTCGTAAACGTCTAATAGATGCAACAAAGACTTGATGAAAAATAGGGGTGACGTACAAGAACAAAAGAGGAAGAATAATTCGCAGATAAGAGCATTTATAACGTCACGCGTGTGCAAAGCGATTATTTTTTTCTGTTAGTTTTGTTTTTTTTTTGTCTGCAAGAAAGAGTTTTACTTAGAGTCAAAGGTAAGGTCTCGACAGGAACGGGTGTAATTGACTACGCTGATTACGCATATGGTATTTTTTTCTTTCGAAGACTTCCTTCAAAATTCTCCCACGGTAATATGAGTTTCACTTTTTTCCAACATCAGAAGCAGCCACTCGTAGCACTCTATTGCATCAGTGTCACTCTGTTATAGATGGCAGCTGAATACAGTATCATAATCTCATCTTTTTTGCGAATAAATCAACCGGAGACAAATGCGATAGAGTTTGTCTTGTGGCTTATTTTGCATCGGAAACAATGTTTAAAAAAATGACTGATGACTTTCTATGCTCACATCTAACTTCCTTGCAAAACTCTCAATGTATCGTTATTGAACGGAAACAAACGTCAATAAGTTGAGCTTCAATGAAATAGATTAGATAGTTATCGAGTCATCTACTGAAGTCGGACAATATATTGATTTTTAGAGATCAACAAAAATGTAATTGAATAAGATCTACTGCCCTATTAAAAGATCGTCACCATTCTTCATACTAATTTCTAGGTGTTTTTTTTACGAGTATATCTTTCTCCAATAAGAATTATACAAATTACATCCATACTCGAGAATATTTTGGTGGGATTCATCATAGCGCTAACTTATTGTTTTTTCTGTACCTCCTACATATGTTTGTTCATCTGAGAAAGGTCTCTACTCTAGATAAATGTGTTGATCGACCAAGTCTTTGGTGAATCAGTGAATGAAGCATTTTTCGCAATATATATGTTCGCAATGTTTTGTTGCATTCAACTTTAAGTCCATATATCTTCAATCTATTCAAAAAGAATCTGTACTGTACGAATATGGACAAAATAACGGATGATTGAAAAGCTTTTTTCACAGAAGTTTGAAGACTGAAACATATTCACAAAAGCTATCAGAATAGTTTTACTATTGGTTACATCGCTTAACTTATCTTGTATCTGTACTATTAATTTCACATTTCTCGATCGATCATTTGTTGTGAAAATGGCTGATCTTCGTAGCATCTCCATATTATGCTTGGATAGAACAATAATTTGCAAAAAAAGTGATATATTAAAACATTTTATGAAAGAAGGTTTGATAAGAAGAATAATTTATAATATAATTAAATGTTATGACATTGGTCTACCGACACCGCACAATCAACTATTTATTATAATTTGCAGAAAATAGGTCATAAATATTACAAATATCAGAAGGCATCAGAATATAATAAAAAACAACTCAGCCAAGTACCCAAAAAGTGTTGAAAAATAGTTTACTTTCTTTAATGTTCATATCAGAGTTGAATGGCTATGGTCATTTTTCGAATAACTTTGAAACAAAAAGAGAAATAAAACTCGAATTTAAAGCACTATTCAGATTCGAAGTTGCTCTATCTTTTAACAAATCCGACGAAAAATTCCATTCGGTTCTTTTCTGGGATAAGCCCTAAGTTCATAAGATGACCTTAATTGTTTTTGAAAACAATATACTTTCTCAACTATAATATAATGGGTTGACAGCCTAGCTTTTACTCTATTGATCTAACGCAAGACTGAGCTTGCCAGCTATGACTGTACTGAATGCTACTTATCAAATTTTTCAGAATCAGAGCAGTTAACGAATATTTCCTTCGATAAGTTTTCAGTTGCTTTCAACTTTGTGACATGATTCGTTAACTTTCAATTTTTTTTTCAACGAGCGAGGAAACGTATTTAATTGATAACAGACGTTTGAGCTCATATTTTGCTCATAAGTAGGCGTCTTAGTCTAGATAAAAACCTGAACAATCTCCTTGATATAATCTAATTTTCGATTTCTTGAATCAACGAATGAATAAATAATATATATTAAAATAGACAATAACTTAATATGAAAGAAGAATTTATGTAGAAATAGATTGTTGTACACAGAAATTATTATTGGCAACAAATAAACTTTCGCAAAAAATACGATCTGAAAAGATGTGGATGTGAGCGATGCTACAAAGACACTCATAACGTCTTGAAAGATTGAGTAACACAATCTGAAATTCTTATTGAGTGCTAAATACAAAAATTTATGCGATAAATATTATACACAAAGTGTAATAAACAATAGTTTTCATGCGTTCAAAAGGTTCTCAATAAGATTTCAAGTAAACAGAAATTTTCTTGACAATCTGTTTCATTTATAAGAAGACATTTAGTCGTATGCGTCCATAATTTACATTGATAAAGAACACATTCATAGAATGTTAATTTTGAACAAAATTTTTTCAACAAATATAACTTCAAATTAACTTTTTTTTTATTGTTATTTCAATAATGAATAGTAATATTTTTTTTTTTTGGGATCAAAAAAGATCTATATATCCTAACAGTCATTATTACTAATACGAATCAATTTTCCTATTAGTTTTGTAAATACTCACTACTGCTCTATGTTCAACAGGTCGACCGATAGGTTTGTGAATCACAAAATACATCGATTTCATCAGAGTATATTCATACCAAAATTGAGCTTCGCAGTATGCATCAACATATATTCAGACTTATCTTGGTGTCTATTTCATTTGTTCACACATCAATGACAGTAATTAATTTTTTTTAATTGATATTCGAATAAAAATAAACATGTAAGACAAATGACAGTTACATTATTTATACTTGTATGATCTTATAAAGCAAAAATTTGTATTGTTTCTAACTAAAAAGTTTTTCAAGTTTTAATTATTATTATACTTTATGGATAAGTATAAGATGGAACTTCAATTACAATATCATCATTATTTGTAACACATACGACACGATTTGGATCGAACTTTTCATTTTGTATTCCATTCCTTGCATTGTATGGTTTTAAGACTATCGTGAAAACAAGATACGGAAAAGAAAAAATAAATGTATATTGAATAGTTCAACCTA